GATGAATGGCAGCCTTTTATTTTTTCCCAATTTCAGTCATTACCATTTGATGTTATATGTGCTCCCAGAGTGTCTCTCCGGCGTTATGGTAGAAATAATATTGGATTTAGGGAAGAAGGAAATTCACTTATCTCTTCCCAGACAATTTTTCTGATCTGGATTCTGTACAGAGAAAAGCTGAGTGACACAGGTCCTGGAGTATCTTGTTTTTGGGACAAACACATTGTGCCTGGAAAGTCAATAACAGACCTGGGATGAGGAGGAATGCTATCAGATACAGGGGTCTCATCTCAGAAAAATGTTACAGAAGATGAAGATTGCCCCTAATGGAAAACAAATGGTGTCACAGAAACAAAAATCCAATTTTTATCGGAGCCTATGGGAATTCTGATCTCATACACAGGCATGTTCAATGAGTTCATATGATACCTATATCCAGTAATTCCGGATACTGTCACTGCATCTTACCCTATCTTATCCATTTGCAAAGATCTAGCTCCAATTGTATGTTATCTGCTCTCACAGCTAGTGAATTTAGAGAATCAGATTAATTTTATTTTTTTTAAGGGACCTTCCTAATTCAGTTCAGGGAATGGGCACCAGAAAAAGAGGGTACAGCATCCACCAGCTGGAACACTATAATTAACTGAGGTCTCAGCGCATGGCTTCTTCCATGAATAACAGACCTGTTCTAGTGACGACAGTCAGTGTGTCCAATAGGGTTTTCATAATGACTAGCAAGAACACATTCAGCCCTACCCCGGAGAGAAATTTGCTTGTTCTTGGCAGAACAAAGTCTCCTGTCTCTAGGTGCACTCCCCACCAAAGGGAAGATTAACACCAAGATTTACATGGCAGAAGTTGGATTATCAGAGTGCCTCTGTCACAGGGTGTCTGGCCCCTTTAAATGAAGCAGGTCCAGCTCCCCTGTGCTAGAACAGGTGCTCCCGGTTGGTCAATTAAGGGGGGGCAGCAGCATCTGGGGCTATGAAGAGCCAGGCTGTCAGTAAGGAAAGAGGAGCAACAGGAAGGTCCCTGGTTTCTACAGTGCCAAGAGGGAAGGCAATGGGAACCAACAGGGGTGGCGGGGAGAGGGGAGGATGGCTTCCAGGGAGAAAGCTGGGAGGCAGTGCTCTGTGAAAAGAGCAAGGAAGAATCCTGCAGTAGGCCCTGAAGCAGGAAAGATTGAGGTGCTATAATCCAGGGTGCACCAATGAACTGTTTTTGTTTTGCCTATGTTTGGAACATAAAACTGTGCCTGGAAAGAGACCCTGGGTATGGCAGTGAGTCCTTCAAGGTCTGGGGACAAACCAGCACCTTACCAGCTTCTAAACCCAAGAATATCTCTCACATCATCAGTCAGTTTGGTCAGCTGGTGATCAACTACTTTGCACCTGGAAACAGTAAATAAAGTGCCTCTCTGTGTCTGGACACACGGGACCAGGTGGTGAGTGATGTCACGCAAAGTCCTTGCTATGCTTTCTTGCCTTTTCCACAGCTTCCCAGGACAATAGAGAAGATAAGAACAGTAGTGATACTGTTTATGCGTTTCTGGCTGAAGAGAGTTTGGCTCTCCAGGTTGATTAACCTAGCAGTGGATTTTTGGAGGTGTCCTTCTCACAAAGGATCCGACCAGACAGCTGCAAAATGAATAGTTGGAGGAAGTGATTTTTGCTCCCATGGACCTCAAGCGAGAGAATTCAGCAAATAAAACTTACTCTGCGAGATGGTGCAAAGCCTAACTATCATGTTAAATCAGTGAAACATAACCTCGAGTTCCTCCAGGAGGACCTTAATATGGGAATATGAGTGTCCCACAAACAGGTCAGGTCTCTGTAATATAATGTTAGCAGTATGTTCAAGAAAAGGAAACTTTATATATATCCCAATATTTAATGTTTCCTTAAGGCATCAACCTTATTCCAACCTCACAAGGTCATAGAGCATAACCTTGTAACCTCATCCTTCTCCTTACCTCACTACCCAAATGGAACCTCTGCAGCAAGTGTCACCATATTTCCTATCCATTAGAGCAGGCCTCCCAATGGCTACTATTGCCAATCAGATGAGGGTTTTTTAATTTGAAATTTGGGGCTTTCTATGAGACCCAGTATTGTACTTAAATTTCAGCCCAGTAGTCCTCACAATTGTCATAGCATTAATTCCTTAAGTAAACTCAAAAAATAGCCCTGCTTTAGTTATGCGTCACCATCCAGTCCTTAGGAGAACTGGCAATCGCAGGGCAGAATAGTCATATCTCCTGTAATAAGATGTGTTAGTCTACCATTCATTCACCATATTGGTCATCCAGTGTCAGCTAATGCCATTCCTTTTGTTTTGGAAGAAGTCTTCTCCATGCCTTGGTATCCAGGGGAAGATGGAGGAGATATATAATCTACTTGGTTTTGGATATCTGTATTTAAGAGATGATCCTGCTTCCTATCCTGGAGGCACCGTACTATGAAAACCCATTTTAATTAGCACTAAGAAAAATGGGGAAATGTATCCATGCTTACTTGAAAATTTCCTTTCTTTAAATAATAAGGTCCACATATCCAGCTGCCCTGAAGACAAACGATCATTCAGAATAGAGATGGAAATCGACATCCAAGGATTTGGGTTTATTGTCATTAGGTAGAATTTACTGTGATCTGCAGTAGACTACTTTGTTGTGTTTTTCCTCAAAGTTTATTTAACATGATCTGTAATTTAGGAAAGTAGATTTGAGTTATCCTGGCTGTGGAAGTTTCCTCAACTGGAGAGAACTTCAAGAGGCAGGGCATTCAAGTCTATTCTCTATTGGGTTTTATACCACGCTCATCACCCAAGGGTACATCTTCACTACCCGCCGTATCGGCGGGTAGCAATCGATTTATCCGGGATCGATATATCGCGTCTCGTTAAGACGCGATATATCGATCCCTGAATGCGCTCACCATCGACTCCGGAACTCCACCAGAGCGAGCGGCGGTAGCGCAGTCGACGGGGGAGCCGCGGCCATCGATCCCGCGCCATCTGGACCCCAGGTAATTCAATCCAAGATACTTCAACTTCAGCTACGCTATTCGCGTAGCTGAAGTTGCGTATCTTGGATCGATCCCCCCCCAGTGTAGACCAGCCCCTAGTATCTGAGTGTCTTCCAGTAGTGCAATTAGCAATGTGATTACACAGCTGTCACATGTTTGTTCTCTTATTCTCTCCCCAAAGTGTGTGCGGTGGAGTGTCTAGGTTTGGTAAGGTATTTTTTTTAATATCAATGTACCTGTTGCTATGTGTTTATGTCAGAGAAGGCAAGGTGAAAGAAATGTGCCTTGCATTTGGAGTGGAAAGTGGTGGTGTTTGTGATGGTCCTTAATTCCTGGGAGAGATCACTCCACAGTCTCAGAACATCCCTGGAGAACGTTCTGTCTCCCACACAGATGAGCTTTACTTTTATTGTTGAGAGTTCTGTTGTGCCAGAGGAATGTAGTTGTCAAGCACTCTTCACCCCAGAGCTTTATAGATGATCTTTTAGATACCCTGAGCCCAGGCCGGGGAGTGATTTGAAGATAAAGACTGTGATCTTGAACTTGATTAGCAATTCAAAGGGAAGCCAGCGGAGAGAGTGGAGGACAGGTTTGATATGTTCATGGTAGCCTGTGTTGCAGAGGAGATGCGCTGCAGCATTCTGCACCAGTGGATTTTCCTAAGTGCTGAAGGCTTCATGCCCAAGTATATCACATTGCTGTAGTCCATCTGACAGGTGACAAAGACCAGGTGTTCATCCACCAGGATGGGATAGAGTTTCCTAGCCAAGCAGAGATGGAAAGCATTACATGCAGATGCTACTATGTGAGAGCTCAGTGTTAGCGAGGAATCCAAGAGTACTCCTAAGCTACGGACTGAATTGTCCAATTGTGGGTGTGTATCTTCTACCAACGGAAACTGCACTGAGGCTCGAAGCTCTTCAAAATACTCTCCTCTGCGCACCAGCGTCATTGCTGTCTTGCTCAGGTTCAGCTTCAGACAGCTCTTCTTTATCCAAGAGCTGCTTTCATCCAAGTACTGGGCTGTCTTGATGGTAGTGGTGTGGTTGTGTGTGGGGAAGGATAGATAGTGTGGTGTGTCATCTGCATATGCTGACACTTCCCTACTGACAGTTTTGGTTCTGCCCTTGAACTACAAGCAGACTGAAATTAAAATACTCATTGTAATAGAACTGTGGACCTTATTACTTGAATAAAGGAAATTTTCAGGTAAGCCTGGATTTTCCTGTTCATTGAGAGTAGTAAAGCAAATTGGAATGTCAATTTTGATTTATTATATTCCTAGAGGAGGGTGTGCATGTCTGCTTTTCTTACAAGGCTGTCTAATCTACAGAGAGATGTAATTCTTCAGCAGGGATAATATTATGCCACTTATTTGATTGCAAATTTGTTTAAACAGCTTTTAGCTTTATATTTTCCCTTTAGGTAATGTATCTTTAGATACTAATTGCAAAATTGGCTTGACATGAGTCATACAGATTTAAAGTACAGTATATCTGGTCTGACTCCTGAATTTTAAGTGCCATAAGTATGATAGCTGAACTAAAACTGAAATTAATTCTAATTTCGTTAGTCTCTAAGGTACCACAAGTACTCCTGTTCTTTTTGCGGATACAGACTAACACGGCTGCTACTCTGAAACCTCTAATTTCTTGGACTCTCTTTTGAGTGATCTGTGTCTAGGGAAGAAGGATATTTTGATGTATAGCAGTGGCCTTCAGGGATAATGTTTTGATATTGGAAGTGTGTGTGTGTGTGTGTTTTGTGGTTTGAGAGAAGTTCTAAGAGGTATGGTAAAATGATGAAATAAAAAAAACCTAGAATGAGTACTTGGCACAAAGAAAGAACATCCACTTTACCTATGATTTGGGGGTGGGGGAAGCTGCTGTTTGCTTTGACCACCGTTTTCTGTTTTTAAAATATTGTGAAGCTCCATATCTAACGTTTCTTTCCCCCCTCCCCCTTTTCTGGCAGGTTTAAGAGATGCTACAGGCTCTGAGAGTGATGGTGGTGACTCAAGCAGCACAAAATCAGAAGGAGCCAATGGAGCAGCAGCAATCCAACCCAAAAAGGTCAAGGGGATTGGTTTTGGAGATATCTTCAAAGACAAACCAATAAAGCTACGACCAAGGTCAATAGAAGTAGAAAATGACTTTCCACCAGTAGAAAAGGTACATATTGTAACTTAATTCTGTCTTGGTTGTCATCCCCAAAGTACTCAACTTTATGATAAGGTAGAACTGACAGCTTTATGGTTTCTTTCCTATTCCTTACTTTGACTGAGTCCTTTTGTCATTTGTTGTGCCAAGTGCAGGAAAATAGATTCCTGTGAAGTTGGTAATAACCCATCTACTTAACTGCCTGGAAGAATGTTATTTCAGTGAAGGTTTTATTCCTGTGCTCACACCTCCACCCACTGGTCTTTGTTCTAAATAACTACCAGTGCAGGGAACAAGACTTCAGAATCTGTATTAGAACTGTGGTTACCCATATGACACCACAAATAATAATAATGCCCAGTTCTTATGTAAAGTAACATGGCAGCATAAAGTCACTCTGCCACCAAAAAGGAAATGTCAAAAAGTACCTACAGAATTTAACTTTTAACTTGGTGCTTTGGATATTCATTTTAAAAAATGCATTGGGCAAACTTTTTATAGGGGACCTGCAGAGGGTGCAAATTGTTGCTATTCTTTTGTTTGTGTGACATATAAAGAAGATCCCAATTAACACTTTGGGGGGAAAACTCTTTGTTAAAGATTCAAATACCTTCACCCTTTCAGTTGAGCCCTCAGAGAGGTCCCTTCATTCTCTAGTCTCCAAGGAGAACCAGAGACACAAGAAGACAAGACTTAATATTTCTAATAAGCAGCGGGGGGGAGGGAGGAAGCTTTTTAGTTTTTTTTTTCATGCCTTCTGTATATAATGAAGTATGTACCATAGTGAAAAAGGCACAAAATCCTTCCCCTCACCTTTATAAGCAATTATATTTATCTAATGTGTATGGATAATCTGATAAGTAAGGCTTGTTTTTGATAGACTTATGCATGCTTGGAATTCTGCTTATCTTTGGTAAAATTCAGATTAGATTCTTCTGCAATGTAAACATTTATATGTGCTGTTTTAAAATGTTGAAAGAGGTTGTTACTACCACCAGAACGGGATAATGAAAGGTTGATAGTGATAGCTGCTTAGGACTGGATTCGTGTAGGCCCCAATTCAAGAAAGCATCTTTCTTTAGAAAAACACTTGTCGTCAATAGGATTTAAGCTTCTGCTTAAAATGAAGCATGTAGTTAAGTGCTGTCCTGGTCTGGGGCCATAAACTTTTCCTATTACATTAGAAAATGTGTATGTTTAGTAGTTCATTTCCAGCAGGTATATAGGTAAAGAAAACAAATACAGTGCATGCAGAAACAACGAGGAGTCTTTGTGGCACCTTAGAGACTAACAAATTTATTTGGGCATAAGCTTTCGTGGGCTAGAACCCACTTCATCAGATGCATGAACCGATGAAGTGGGTTCTAGCCCACGAAAGTTTATGCCCAAATAAATTTGTTAGTCTCTAAGGTGCCACAAGGACTCCTCGTTCTTTTTGCTGATACAGACTAATACGGCTACTACTCTGAGTGCATGCAGATATTCTGATGAGCTAGATGCACAGTCAGTATTTGCATGTTAAATAGTGTTTGTTTATGATTACTATATACACATTCACCTGTGAATGATGCACATATGGACCTTAACCAGAACTGTAGAGGTATTCAATATTCAATTATCCACATCTGATTCAGATGGCTTGGAATTGACAAACTGCAGTGCTCTGCAAATACCATATGATTAGGCTTGGGAGAATTCTATTTTTATCTGTGAATGTTGGTAAACTTTGATTTCCATGCACACACAAACCAACAAAAAAGTATTTCCATCAATGATAATTGAAATGTACAGATCGGTAAAGTAAAAAAAAATGCTGCTTGAGAACTTTTTTATTTAAGGATATTTACTTTGCATATTTTGACATGTGGGTATTGACTGTTTTAATGGCGATAAAGCTTTTTTTATTTCAGTGTCTACAATCATTAAATAATTGTCTGACACCCCATCCCGCAATGTTCCACAACTGAGAAAATTTAAAAATAATAAGCTTAAAAATAAATTTTGATATTATCCTTCAATATTATATTTAAAAAATTTAATTCTGCCAAGCCTACATATGATAGTTTTCTGTAAAGATACAGACAGTTTTGGTAAATGGGCTCTGTATAAAATAGGATATAGACCTGTTCACCTTTTAGTCACTCATCTAATATGGTCAAATTTGAGGTGTCCATCTGGTAGATATTAAATGGCTTTTGTGAAATTAGAGAAGGTCTTAGTCCACTTTTTGTTGGGCAGGAAGTATCATTATCCCTATTTTGCAGACGGGGAACTGAAAAGTGATTTGTCTAAGGTCAGACAGGAGGTCTGAGACATAGCCAGGAATTTAATCCAAAATCCTTAGAGTCTTAGCCTGGTGTCTTAATTACAAGACCATCCTTCTTCTGTATTCACATTTTCCTTAACAAATATTTTAATGGAATGTGATTACATCGTATTTGCAGTTAGAATACTTTATTTCCTGTATTTAGTAACTTCTCAGGCTGCAAGTAGGAAATGCTTGCATAACACTTACCATACGCACCCAACATTTAACAGCTAGAGCAGTGGTTCTCGGGGGGCCTTCCGGGGGGAGGGAGGGACATCAACTCATCTAGATAGTTGCCTAGTTTTACAAGAGGCTGCATAAAACGCACCAGCGAAGTCAGTACAAACTAAAATTTCATACAGACAATGACTGGTTTATACTGCTCTATATACGACACACTGAAATGTAAGTACAATATTTATATTCAATTTAATTTATTTTATAATTATATGATAAAAATGAGAAAGTAAGCAACTTTTTCAGTAATAGTGTGCTGTGACACTTTTATATTTTTATGTCTGATTTTGTAAGCAAGTAGTTTTTAAGTGAGGTGAAACTTGGGCATACGCAAGACAAATCAGACTCCTGAAAGGGATACAGAAGATTGGAAAGGTTGAGAGCCACTGAGCTTAGAGAGCCACTCAATCAAATGGAGTCTAAGAATGGCACAAAATAATCAATAAAAGATATTACCTCATCCACCTTGTCTTCCACAAAATAATCATATGATGTTGTTAGTCTTTGCCTGATCATGGCACACATTTATTATACACTGACACAACATCATCCTCTCTCTCTCCTATCCCCTTGGCTCTTGGCAGTTTCTCCCTCCTCTTCCATCTCCACCCCCATCTTCCTCAAGAACTCATGCTGGCTGTTGGGAGGAAGAGGAACTCCATTTTTGCTTGTTGTGGAGGGAGGGAATACCAGTTGCTCCTGTTTCTTTATTCTTCTGTGTAATAAAGGGTAACTGAACAGCAATATAGGAGTTGCTGAGTTTGCTCAGTGCTCCCTGTGCTGCACAATATATTAGGTAGATGGTCCTGTGACTGACATTCTTGTGCGTCTCTTCTTGAGATCCAACTAAACTGAGTGGATCACTAATCAGTCATCTACACAGTGAGAGCTGCATGTAGGACTATAAAGAGCAATGTATAGAGAATTGCTGTTTTAAAGAACTTATACGTTTTGGTTGGCGGGAAGGCTGCTTTGGTTTTTAGTTCCTTTAAAACTTTTGTATTTATTAAGTCTCTTCTTAAACACCATTATTTCTGATAGTTCACCCTGATCATCTCAAATGGGGAGTGTCTCCACTCATCTCTTTTGTGAAGACAGGAGGAAAGGGAGAATTCACTTCACATAAGTTGCTCTTTACCCCTTTGCCACCCTTCTCCCCGCTGCACTTTTCCAGGTATGACATTAGACCTAAAAGCAGTTACAGAGTTGAACGCTAAAAATAGTTAGAACCAAAGCTCAAAATAAGGGACATGAGAACGATAGTAGCATATAGCATTTTGTAGCCTAGGAACATGATTCTGTAGCCACTCCATGCATGAAACGCCCACATCATGAGGTCCCTTGCTTTTGTACCTTTGTAGCTCTTCTGACACCAAACCACTCATTCTGGTCCATTTTTTTTTACCATTCCTTGCCTCCTCATCTCTAATCTACCATGAGATAATTCTCTGACTATAAAACTTCCATCTTAAGTGATTAACATTATCCATTGGTGCTTCAGTGGTAAAGTGTTAACAATGTAGGATTAATTTTTGTGTGTGCAAAAATATCATTTGGAAATTATGAACAGCACTTCGAAATTGTAAAGTGTAACACAAAATTCTCAAGAATATTATTTATCCTTTGTGGTATAAACAATTTACAGCAATAAAAGCTAATTAATGACACCAGGTCTTCATGAGATAGGTAAAACACAGCTAGCTCTCAGATGAAGGACAGTTTAGATCTATACCTTTTACTAGGATTCTGAAACCATAATCTCATACAGGAAAACAGGTACAAAGGGAATGGAGCAGGAAATGGAAAATTGAGTTTAATAGAGAGGAACAAATTTGATAACCCAGACTGGCACTGAGTCTCTGCTGAATCGCTATTGGAGAGTGATGCATCAGTGAGCAGTGTCTCTTCTCATCTTCCATATTCCTTCCCCCTTCCCCAAACGTATCTGTGATATCACGATTTCACTCTTTGGATTGTAAAATGTTCAAGCTACTCTCTGATAAACGAGAATAACCCAGCTTTCAGTGAAATGGCTTTGCCCTGGGTTTTAACAGAGAACATGTAACTGTATCAGTGGCATTTTTAAAAAATGAGTCTACCACACAACAGTGCTCTGTGTCACTGAAGATCGTTATTTTTAAAAACTGTTATTGCAGTATAGACTACATAAATATAGGATGTTTTAACATTGCCTATACCACAGTGCCTTGCACATACATCACATACCAAAGTGAAGGAAAGCATTGTCCATATGGAGGAAATGCAGTTATAATATACATAACGACCACAGTTGATTTTAGATTCCTTTCGCTTACTTGAGTTACTTAAAAACTGCATCGAGATCTACTGGTGAAAAGACTATATAACAGCTAGTGATGTCAGTAGCAATACTATGGAGAGTCTGGTTTTGATTCCTGGTTGGGAGCCATGGACTTCTGCTGTGGTGGTGTACCCTGAAAAACAAAAT